CCAGGCTGGCCTCCTCGAACTGGGCTCAAGCGGTCATCCCACCTTTGCCTCTCAAAGTGCTGGTATTTCAGGCATGAGCCACTGTGCCTGGCCAAATTTCTTATTGTAGCTAAATACATTGGTATTTGTCTTAGTCTGTTCAGGCTGGTATAACAAAATGCCTTAAAACTGGGTGGCTTATAAACCATGAAATTTATTTCTCACAGTTCTAGAGCCTGGGAAGTCTGAGATCAAGGCAGTGGCAGGCTCTGTGTGTGATGAAGGCCAGTTTTCTCATGGATGGTATATTTATGCTGCATTCTCACATGGTAGAAGGGACTGAATTTCCTGAGGCCTTTTTTTATATACAGGCATTAATTCCATCCATGAGGGCTCTGCCCTCCTGACTTTGTCACTCCTAAAAGGCCCTTCCTCTTAATAACATCACTTTGAGGGTTAGGTTTCAACACAAGAATTTTGAGAGACACAACTATTCAGACCATAGCAGTATTGTTTACATGTCAGTCTTCTGTTACTTTAATGAGAGCCTGTGCTCTTAGCAAATTGACAAACATAATTCAAATGAAGACCTACCACAAAAATGATGACTTCAACAAGGGAAATGTCACCTTGACAAACCAGACAGTAGTCAACACTCTATTCTTCACCATGTGTCTCCTTTTAGTATCAACATTAGGCTTTATTCAGGCAATGGAAGAACCATTAAAACCTTGGATGCAGGAAAGTTATATGATTGACTCTTAATCTGAAGATAGTTTGAAAGAAGAGATGACTGGGGATAGACTGGTGGGGGTGGAGAAAGGAAGGAAAGTAAGGAAAGAAATGACAAAGGAGGTGATAAAAAAATTCCATCTTATTTGGTTCTGATATTTACATGAAACATGAAAGAGTCTTTCAACTCAGTATAGTGATAGAGAATGTAGGACTACTTCACATGTATGTACCCTTCAACTAATCCAATTATCCAGGAGTGTGAAGACACAACAAAAGGTAATCTTTTTCATATGTGGTGAGATTGCCCAAGAACAGATAAGATTTAGAACAGCATACTTTAATTATGAGGAACATTTGCTTACAGATATTTGATTACTATTAAATACATTCCATAAGATCAATGTTTAATTTCAAACTGAAAGTTTGCTTTTTAATTTTAATAGCTGCAAAATTCTGCTAAAAAAGAAATCATAAGAATCTACTCAAATCCAAGCTTGAGTAAATATGATATGGAACTATAAGATGCAAGAAAGACTTTTCATAAATTAAAACACGTTTGTAACTCAAACGTAAGTCATTTTGGTTTTTAGAACATAGGATGACTTTTATAAAAGACCAAAATTTTAAAGGCAACTATAAAATAGGCTATAAAAACCAAAGGATGATTTGTAAACATGGAGATATGGCATAGAATAAAATGAGCTATAAATATGCGGATTAGTAGCTAAGCACAAAGAAGCTGTTAGAGACATTTATGTAAAGCAACCAACAATGCATTTTTTTTGTTGCTAAAAAATGTTTTATAACAGAGAGATCTAAAACCTGCTTATTGATTACCTTCACTATGTGAAGGACTATTTTATTTTATTTTATTTTATTTTTCCCCATTCCTCAAAAGATCTATTTTAGGGGAATTTGAACACTCATTATATTAGGACATAGTCTTTCCCTCAAGCTTGGATTCTAGTTGAGGGAGAAAAGGAATACATAAAAACCTAGTAAATTTTACATAATTCTTGACAAATGAAAGCAACAAAAACAATATTAATAAATTTTTAGTTCTTAAAACATTTTTATGTAAAGAAGATTATTTAATAATTTTTAAAAATCAAGAAATGTCAGGGAGAAAAAAACTTTGCCTCTATCTTCTTAATTTCTGTAACTGGAGGTATGTGAATTAAACCGACAAAAGACAGATTAACAGGAGAAAATAACCGATTTGCATTAGTATTTATGTGTACACGAGTTCAGAGAAAAGAGGTGAAACTCAAAGAAGAGATTAGACTCAGGGACTCATATACCCTTTGAACAATGGAAAGAGGATTTGGGTTTAAAGGATGGTCATTTGTGGGGAAAAGACTAGGAAACATCTGGGGGAACTAATGGAAGATAAGGGCTACTTGAGTAAGACCTGTTTATGCAAACTCATCTTGGCGTCAACTCCCGGTCTTGAGGATAAGAGTGGCTCTTCTCTCCCTGGTCTGGTTGAGGGGTTAGGGGGAACTTGTGTGTGTGTGTGTGTGTGTGTGTGTGTGTGTGTTTGTCTGTGACACTTTCATTACAGAAAAATTTATGGCCTGCTTTTAGGCAGATGGCGAGAACAAAACTCTTCCTGAATTTGTTGATTCTCAATTGTCTTTAGCACAAAACAATCCTTATGCCAGAGTGACACGTGGCATATTCTACATTGCTTCAGCCCAGTATAGCCTACCCTGATGGCCATCTTCAGTGGTTGTGATAGCAATGTTGAGAAAGAAGATTGCTCTGTGGTTTGGGTGTGATGGCCCATGCCTATAATCCCAGCGCTCTGGGAGGCTGAGGCAGGAAGACTGCTTTAGGCCAAGAGCTCTAGAGCAGCCTGGGCAACATAGTGAGACCCTGCCTCCACAAAAAACTTTAAAAAAAATTAGCTAGGCATGGTGGTGTGTGCCCTGTCTCTTATACACATCTAACCCAAAACTTCCGAGGCCCTGCTTTTTGTCCTAAATGTGCTTTAAAAAGGAAATTTGTTCGTATTTTTTACTTACATTTTATATTTTTGTACAGATAGTTAGGGTCAGCCATTTTTAATGATCTTGAATGACCAAACCAGCCTTCAGAGCGTTCTCTGTCCTATTCCTGACTTGACTTGTGGTGTGACCATGTTCATTATAATCTCAAAGGAGAGAGAGAGAGAGAAAAAAAAACTTGTAAAAAAACAAAACTGACAACAGAAAAACAATCTTATTCCAAGTGTTATATATAAAGTTTCGGTGCCACAAAAGGAATAGGACTCAAATACAAAATTTTCCTTTTAATTCTCAGCAGGGCAAGTTATTTCTATATAGAAGGGTGCGCGCACACTTGGACAAGGGAGGGGAAGGGGTTCTTACCCAGGACGCACGTGGCCCCTGTTGCTGTGTCGTTCCCCTATTGGCTGGGGTTAGACGGCACAGGCTAAACTGATTCCCACTGGCTAATTTAAAGAGAATGATGGGGTGAGTGCTTTGGCGGGAGTCAGGGCAGAGCAGGTAGCAGGTAATCGGAATGAGTGAGGGTGGAGCGGGTGATTAGAATGTAGGGTGGAGCAGGTGATCAGAAGGAGTCAGGGTGGAGTAGGTAATTGGAATGAGTTAGGGTGGAGTAGGTAATCAAAAAAGGTTGCTTTATGAGGAAGTAGAAGGCAAAGAATTGAACTTACTGACATAGTAATTATTTGAAAAGAAATTTAGAACTCATATCTAACACGAGCATTCCAGTAACTTTTTTGTGTATGTACTTAGCTGTACCACAAGTGATTGGTTTGTACGAGATGGTTAAAAAGGCCAAAGATAAAGGTTTCTTTTTTTTCCCTTTTTTGTCTATGGAGTTGCTGTTTATTATTATTATTATTGGCCTGTTTGATGTATGTATAAAACAATGTTGTACAACGAGAAACAGGAATTTTATTTTGCTGAGTTTT